CAGCAGCTCCGTCAGCACAAGGCTTGGAGCGGGAGGCAGGGAGGTCATGCAGCAGGAGGATGCCAGGGAGGAATTGACATCAAGAGCTCCCCGTGGCAGATCGATTGGATGTACCGCGACGGGCAAAGGAACAAAGCGGTCGGATCATGTTCAGTCTGGAGTCCCCTGGCCCCAGCGACGCTTCGAGGCAGGGCCCCCATAAGACTCCTCCTGCCCGCTCCGTGGTGGTCACTACTGCGATGACTATCATAAGTTCTGGGGGTGCCTTCTTCTCTTTTGGGCCGAGCACCCCCCCATCCAGGATACAGGGGACATATCAGACAGTGCCCGAGGGGATGATCAACCAGCGTGCGTGTGGCTCCGAGGGCTAATCCCAGCAGGTCTCGCACCGAAGGCAGCCTCCCGTGAGGAGGGAGCCTTGGGCGCCGCTGCCGGCGTCGTCGTCGAGGCTCGAGGCTCCAGGGATCGAGGCTCCAAGGGAGATTCGATCGCCGTCGTCGCCGTCGCCGTCGCCGTCGCCGCCGCCGTCCTCTTGGGAACCGGCGCCTGCCCGGGTCCTCCCCGCGCCGAAGGGGCGGTCGGCGCCTCGGCTCTGCGGCTGGCTCCGGGTGGGGGGGGCGCTTTCGCGGCCGAGGCCCCGCCGCCCTTGGGCGAGCGGGATGGGGTGCGGGGGTGCAGGATGAGGATCTACAGGGCAGTTTCTAATACATGGGATTTCTAAAAATATGGGGTTTAAATACATGGTTATGACCTCATCGTTGTTTTTAATGCTAAATCCCTGCATTTTTGATACATGATCCGCACGCGGAGCATGTATTGAAAACGGCACTGTAACCCGTCTCGGGTAAGGTTAGTCGCAGCGAATTACGGCAGGAACCATGATTGTCCTTGCCAGCCCACGCGTCTCTGGCGCGCGGTCGCCACATCCAAGGCGGCCGGTGCCGCGCTCGGCGGCGGCAAGACGCGATTTCCAATGGAAACGGGACCCGTCGCTAATTTCACGCCCCCTTACATTGCGGGCGCGGCCGCAAGAAACCCAACCCTGCAGACCCGCGCGCGAAGTGCACCTGGTGGAAAGCCCAGAGCACCCCGAACGCAGCAGCCTCTCTTGGACGGCCGCTGGAAGTCACCACGCAGAGCGCGGAGCGAGAGGAAACCCAGGGCACCCCGACGAAAAGCAAATGGTTTCTTGATCTGCGCCCCCTTAATCCATGTTTGCGATCGCCCGACGTTCGTGAATATGTGAAGGGGCCCTGAGACACACAAATCAATACACACGAATAACAGGATCCCCCATATTTTCCCGGATGTTCCGGGCTTTTGTCATCCCCCCACTTCCCCTATGCTCCCATCTTTTCTTGGGAGTTGACGATTGATTGTGTCTGTGTGTTTTCCCCTCCTGAATAATGCGGGATGACGATTAATAAAAAATGAGAGAGTAGTCTTCTGCTATTTCTGCACAAGTTTATGACTGGAGGAGAGCGATGAAAAAAAGGTGTTCGAGCCCGCGGCCGGTTCTTTCTAATCGTCATCCCGGGCGCCGCCGCGTGAACACGACCACCAGTCATTTATTAATCGTCATCCTCCATTAGACCTGAAGAGCCCTAAAGAAGGGAAGAGGCCCCTGCTTCCCAGAAGTTGAACTTCGACTTCCCATGGGAAGCCTGAGGAGAACCCCAGGCAGACTGTAACACCATCCGGGAACACCGAGCCCCTCCCCAACGAAAAGGGCTCCTTCTTCAGCGCCCCGACTGTACGAGAGCTCAGCGTCAGGAGCGGAGCGAGAAGGCGTTCCAGTTTCGGTCGGAGGCGACCTCACACTGGCCCCAGGTCCACGGAGGCCGGGTCTCGTATGGCCGATGCGGGAAGAAGACCCACAGGAGGTCGTGTGCCCGCTAGCTCCGCTCCCCCTTGTCCCGCCAGGCCCATGGCGGAGGCCCAGGTTGCCGTGGCCGCGGGGAGTTCGTCCCAAGGAGCAGGCCATACCCAGCTAAAGGAGGTCGCCACCGCCGCTGGTGGAGGCCCTACCGTCCACCCCAGCCATCGCCCCCATGTCGCTGTGTGCCGTGGGGTCCTCTGGTGACGGCGGCGTGGGTGTTGGCGGGTTCGGGCCCCCAGGAAAATCAGGGAGCAGCGCACCCCACCAGGCCAAACAGCCAGAGTGGGGAGCACGATGCCATGTTGAAGCTCACCAAGGGGCAGCCCCCCCAAGGCCTCGCAGAATGGCCCAAGGGGAGGTCGTGAGCCCCAATTGTCCCCCCGTCGTGTAGGGATCGAGACTGTCCTGTGGGGCGCGCGCGCGCGCGGAGGAGGAGGAGGAGGAGGAGGAGGAGGAGGAGGAGGACCCGTGCGAACCCAAGACTAATCAACGGTGTTGGAATGGACCCTCCCTCCAAGCTCTCTCTTCACAGGCCCCCACAAGGATACATTTCCACTGAGGGAAGTGCCCCGTTGGGAGACAACCGTTTGAAGATCCTGAGGTGTCAAAACACTTTTCTCGAGACCCCGATGCCACGAATCGATGTGACTGTTGCGTCCTGGCGATCCTGGATCACGCCTGGACACCATTCCTGAGATTTCAACACCGCGAATCAACGCAACTGGTGCGTCCTAACGATACTGAATCGCTCCAAAATGCAAGTTCTGGTACGTTGACCGTGGGAATGCGCAAACATCTTGTAAACGTTGAATATGAATGTGCGGGGCGCTAAGGCGAGAGCCACATGTCGAAAACGAACCGCACTCAATCCGTGAAAATCTTGCAATGATTAAAACGAATGGCCCGCCCTCCATCCGTGAAGCTCCTGCAAATATTTAAACATGAATGTGTTCGGCGCTTAGGCGAGAACCACATTTTGACAACGGCCGCCCTCCACCCGTGAAACGCTTGCAACTGTTTAAGACGAATGTGCGCGGCGCTACGGCGGGAGCCATTTTGAAAACCACCCACCCTCAATCCGTGAAGCTCACGCAACGTTCCAAAAAACAGCTACACGCGGCGCTAACGCGAGAGCCACACACATGTCGAAAACCACCCACCCTCCATCTGTAAAACTGTTTCCCAATTTTATGTTTCGGTGTCACAAATGGTGGGGAAGTCTCAAGCGAAATACCCGGCCCGCCCTTTCGACCGGCCTCGGGGTGCAACGAGGAGGAAATATTGTATAGGAAAAGGAATGGAGGCGGAGGAGGGGGAGGAGGAGGAGGAGGAGGAGGAGGAGGAGGAGGAGGAGGAGGAGGAGGAGGTGGAGGAGGAGGAGGAGGAGGAGGAGCAGGAGGAGGAGGTGGGGGAGGCTGCATATGGATGATCTTGCAGCCACCAGGAACCAGGAGGAGGAGGAATTGGAGGAGGATTTGCTTTGAGCCCCGCGCCTTGCGCCTCCAAAGCCTGCCAACTTTAGGCAGCTCAAACGACTGCTGCGGAGGAGAAAACATTAGCCAAATGACCCGAACCAAATTCGGGCGAATAGGATGGAACGGATCGAGTGGCCAGCTTGGGAGAGCCACACTTCCCTGGACCACCAGCACGAGTCGAAATCAATGAGGGCGGCCATAGTCAACGACCTAAGCTGCGAGCACAGACGCACAACTGAGAAAGCCTTCCTCCTGAGAACAGGGAAGTCCCAGTCACTGAAGCAGTGCTCTCAAGGCCGTAACAGGCCTCCGCCAGAGGTCCCACGGAAGTCTCCCTGTTCTGACATATCAGCCGCTTGCTAACTCTGGAGGCTTTGGAAAGTCTCCTTTTCATATTGGCCGGACGGCCCTAGGTCATGATTGCGCGACCCGAAGTGCAGTCCACACGAAGGTTGACAGTGCTGGAAGTAAAGCGGTCACCTAGATGCAAGAGAGCGATGGCGACCTTTTCGCCGACCTACAACGACGACGCAACAATCGCAGTCTTGTCGAGAGCAAACGAAAAACCGAACACAAACTTGACCCCATAATGCAAGGCCTTGGCAGAGCTGACCAAAAGCCTGACCACCCTGAGGGAGAACTAATGCAAGAACGAGCCAGGCCGCAGAGAGAGAGAGATACATATATATATATATATTTATATATGTGTGTGTGTGTGTCCATGTCCACCCCATCACCGAGAGAGATACTTAGATACGCCCTGACAGAACACTATGCTGAAAGTGGTGGCCATGAAGCATCCAGCCACCACTCCATCATCGCAGAAGTACGGGCCTCCCAAACAGCCGCCCAAAGTGATGAACCTCTCACACTCGAAGGCGAAAAGGCACACACGAGCCAGGGGGAGGGGGCAAGCGTGTTCTCACATCGCCTCTCGGGCCCAACCACAGAGATGCTCTCGTAGAACCTGCGAAGATCGAACAACACGCTGCTAGAAGCCTTGCCTTGCGCCAGACGAGACTCAGCAGCCACAGACTGGCGCCACAAGGAGGAGCAGGAGGAGGAGGAGGAGAAGAATGAGGAGGACGAGGAGGAAGAGGAGGAGGAGGAGGAGGAGGAGAAGGAGGAGGGAGAGGGGGACGAGGGGGAGGAGGAGGAGGGGGGAGGAGAGAGGAGGAGAGGAGGAGGAGAGGAGGAGGAGGAGGAGTGGGGGGGAAGACAAACACCCAGAAAATATGGAAAATATGGGGAATATTGTTATTTGTGTGTATTAATTTGTGTGTCCTGGGGCCCCTTCAGACTTGGCCTCCCCTGCGCCCGTCTCCTCGCGGTCGTGTGCGGGCGGCTCTCTCTCTCGGTGGCCGCCAGCACCGCGCGCGAGGCGCTGCGCGCCCGGAGCGAGGCGCGGCGAGACGGCCTCGCGGTTCGGCGGAGCAGTCTCGTGAGCAAGCTAAGCAGCCAGGTGATTGTTGTCACCGACAGTTGTCTTCCGCCTTCTCCTCGTCCTCCTCCTCATTCTCCTCCTCCTCAGACTCCTCCTCCTCCTCCTCCTCCTCCTCCTCATCCTCCTCCCTCCTCCTCCTCCTCCTCCTCCTCCTCCTCCTCCTCTCAGGCACAGCCCCCCCCCACCCACGAGCCCGAGAGGCCTCTCGAGACGCTTGCGGTCCTCCTGCAGCGCGAAGCCGACGATCGCGGCCTCGTCCCGCGCGCCGCGGCGGAACAGCCTCGCGGCGGGGGCCATGCCCGGGCCGTTCGCCCCGCGCGAGCGACTCGATTCGCGGCAGCTCTTTACCGGCGAGATACAGCCGAGCACTGCTGCGAGGAGGCCAGACGCCCCACCGCAAAATGACGACGACGGACGGATGACGACGGTGCGACTTGCTCGATCCAAGCGTTTGTTCCTCGATTCGACGGTGGACGAACCTCCCTTTAGCAAACCAGCCTTCAGCGAAAACAGCCCAGGACCGAAACCGACGGACCTGGACCCGCAAAAAATGGCGGCCGCGACGCCCTCTCGCGCGGATTTCTCGGGTCGGCGCTGGACCCCCCTCCCTGGCGCGCGGAGCGCGCCAGGGGCGGCGCCGGAGGCGCCGCCGGGGGGCCCCAGCGCCGAGCCGAGACATCCGCGCGGACCTCCGAGCTGTTCTGTTTATGTCACAAGTTGTTCCCCATTGAGCCCCGAGGTCTCACAACAGAACGCATGCTGGGGGCGCGCGAGCGACGAGAGCGAGGAGACACGGGGACGCCGAGGAGCGCCCGGCCGAGCCGCGCGCGTGGTGAGCCCCGAGGTCTCACAACGGAACGCATGCCGGGGGCGCGCGCACGACGAGCGCGAGGAGGCGCGGGGACGCCGCGGAGCGCCCGGCCGGGCCGCGCGCGACCGGCAGAGGCGAGGGCCGCCTCCGCAGCGCCCGCGGCGGCCGCCCCTGCGGCGCGCGCCCGGCCGGCTCGAAGCGGAGGCAGAAGACCTCTCGGCGCGTCGACAGCGCGGCGCGCCGCCGTCGCCGTCGTCGCCGCCGACGTCGTCGCCGTCGCCGTCGTCGCCGTCGCCGCCGCCGCCGTCGCCGCCGCCGCCGCCGCCGTCGCCGTGGTGAGCGTCGTGAGCGTCGTCGTCGTCGTCGTCGTCGTCGGCGTCGTCGGCGTCGGCGTCGTCGTCGTCGTCGCTTGGTGGCCCCAAGTGCCCCCCGCGATTCGCTCCACTTGGGGAGGCCCTGGCCCCAGGCGGCCCTCGGGGCTCGAGGACCCCGGGCTTCCTGCTCGTCTCCGGCACCTTCTCCCCCCCAGGGAGCCGCCGCTCCAAATTTTGGACGCCCGAGATGGGTACTCCAGATTCCGTAATAAAAGGGAGGGGGTCTGGACCCTCCAAGACAGGCCATTTCAGACCCCCCCTCGTGGGAGAACCGTCCAAAACATCGTCCCCAGACCCCCCCAAGCCCTCCAAGACAGCCTGGAAGAGACCCCCCCCCGAAATGAGACCCCCTCCCTTTTATTACGAAATCTGGAGTACGGAAACAATGGGCACCATGCCCAGCAGCAAATGTTGTCCCGAACCAACAGCGGCCGCTGTTGGGCAGGCGGCCTTAAGTCTCAAATGGGCATAGGCCGCGGCGGCACGGACAGCGAGTCCTGTTCAAAATGAACAGGAACTGCTGCTGGGCATGGTACCCATTCTTTCCGTACCCATTTCGGGCGTGCCGACAAACCACTGGAACGGGCGGCTGTCTGGCCCTTGCCGGCCTCCCCGGGAGCCCTCGCCGGGCCCTCGGGGCCATCAGAGCAGCTCGGGACGAAAGACCGTCCCTGCGGAAGCAGTCCAGACCTCCGGGGCCCACGCACCGAAAAAGATGGAGCAGCTGGACGTCTGGGCCCTGTGTGTCCCAGGCTACCACAGCCGGGTCCCTCCTCCCCTCCGCCTGCAGCACGGGCTCGCGAGGAGAGCGAGCAACGACCCGCCCGCGTCCACCCGTGCCTCCGAGGGGCCAGTGGCACCGTCTTGCCGGACGCGCTCCAAGGAAAACGAACATGCAGTGAGTGGGAGGGCGAGGCAGGGGACCAACTGGGCCTTCAGAAGCCTCTGCACCTTCCGCGCACCTTCACCATCCCTCCTTCCCACCATCCCCCCCGCCCCCGCCCGACCCCCATCCCGTACCAGTGTTCCCTCCGTCTCTCCCCCTCCCCCTCCTTCCAGCTGGATATAAATATGTGTATTCGTATGTGTCAATGTAGACAGAGAGAGAGAGAGAGAAAGAAAGAGACAGAGAGAAAGAGACAGAGAGAAAGAAAGAGAGAAAGAGAGAGAGAGAGAGAGAGAGCGGTCCGCAATTGCGAATAAGAGTGAGGGGACGGACGCGGGGTGGGTCATGGGTGCGTCGCGGGAGGGTCGCAGCTTGCGTCACGGGTGTCTCGCGGGTGGGTCGCGGGCCCGGTTGCGGGTGGGTCGCGGTCGCGGGCGGGTCGCGGGCGGGTCGCGGGCGGGTCGCGGGCGGGTCGCGGGTGAGTCGCGGGCCAGGTCGCGAGAGGGGCCGACGACAACGACGACGACGACAAGAACAGCAGCAACAACAAAAACAACACTAATCAATCTAAGACTGTTCGCTCTGATCTGCTCACGGGCCATTGATCAACACGTGTATCCCAAGCCCTCGATGCCCACCCTCTTCGTCTTCGATCGTACCCCCTTGGGGGTAGACATCTCCCTTACCTGCAACGTGTATTTCGTGCAGCCTCTAAGGCAGGGGATGAAGCACGAGAGAGGGCAG